CTGTTACACACCGCCATGGTTTGCTTCGTCATGAGAACAAACGTGTTCCAGAAGATAACTCGGTTAATTCCTCCCCTCTAAGGGTAACCACATGTGAAAGGTGGTTTTCATAATTAAAGTGCATCTTGGTGCTTTTAGGGTCAGACTGAGAGTACTGACGGCTTTTAAAAAGCAGCCTTAATAGACTGACTTTTCTCGGCCAGAAGGGTCCGAGCCGTGTCCAAACTGGGTTCATGGCCACCATCTGCAGAGTGTAGTCAGTTACCTGTGACAAGTGACCAGGCTGAGTACACGAGGGGAGTGTCTGTTTAGTTTATTGTTTGTTTGTTTCCTGAAGGTTATTTCTAACCTGCTCAATCACAACAACAAAGTCCACCTGACTTAAAATAACAAACAAACCCAAAAACAAACAAGCTGTAATCATAGGCATTTATTAGACCAAGGCCTGAGGAATTGGTTCTTTTGAGCTGTCCGTCTGTGTATGACAAATTGTTCAACACTTTCAGTGGCTTTGTGTTAGTTTTGCTTCTAGATGATGCTTCTTTTTAGTTGAACAAAGATGTACAGGCTTATTAAATTAACTTCATTTTAATAATCTAGTTAATTTTGCTTCTCTAAGCTCTGTGAGTTAGAGAATGAAAGTGAAAGAGAGGTGGTAAGATGTGTTCAGCCCTCTTGTTAATGCTAATGCTTTAATGCTTGAGGAAATAATTTCCTCTCGTATTGAAGGAGTACGGGAAGATTATGGTTAGAGGTCGATTCCACATGTGGTTAAAGTACTCTACAATTTTTCGGTTTTGATATGATTTATTCATAATGTTTGCAGTAGGGAAGCACGAGGGTGCTTTTATTTGGGTTTGTTTAGCAGTTCTGCAGAGTAGAATCTAAAACAGAAGTAGCCGCAGTGCCACTGCTGTGGGCTGGCCTGTAAACCTGAATTGTAAACCTCCTGTGCAGTGCTTGTGATGGAAAGTGGCAGTCGAATGGCATGAATCCATTTTGTTCATAATGCTTGCTCCAGACAAATTATAACAAGTGGAGAATGTAAAAGCAAAATGGTATAGAAAAACATTAGGAGATTCCCAGTACTGCACATCAGATTTAGGTAGAAGATCCATTTGGTAGCTCAGCAGGGAAGGCAAATGGACATAACAAGTGTATAATAGGTTTTTTAGACTTAAGCTTGCAACTTTGCATGTTGTAACGTGCATAGAATCATTCAGGTTGGAAAAGACTTTTAAGATCATAAAGTCTGTTAACCTAACACTGCCAAGTCCACCACTAAACCATGTCGCTAAGCACCACATCTACATGTCTTTCAAATACTTCCAGGGGTGGTAACTCAGCCACATTCCTGGGCAGCCTGTTTCAATGCTTGACAACCCTTTCAGTGAAGAATTTTTTCCCAATATCCAGTCTACATGTTGCATATTGTTAATTTTAAACTTTGCACAGAAAGAAAACTCTGAATTCAAGCTGTATTTGAAAGGAAAATAATTCATGTTTTACTTGGGATGGGGGAGAAGGATAATATTGCTGCCATGAGTCTATTTCAGGTTTGTAAACAGACCCAAAGCAGAATTCTCTGTGCATTGTTTTCTTTTTAGTAGTGTTCATAAGAACATATAATGCTAAAATCAAAGAACGGCCTGAAAGACACATCTTTCAGAAGGTTGTTGGGTTTTGTTTGGTGTCAGTTTCCTCTCTTTCTCCTTCCCCTCCAAATCCTATTAACAAATCAAAGTGCATTACCTCTTCAGGCAGGTGCTTGCAGCAGTTGCAGAGTAGTTGGACCATGGGGACTCTTGGCATAAGGTCATAGTTAAATTTTCTCTCAGTAAGTTTTCTATGAACTTTTCATGGACATAAACTAGCCTCATTAACTGTATTTCTGCTGATCTTGGCAAAGCTTAAGAAAGGTGAATAAATAATAAAAGATGTGTCCTGCACCATTAGGGAGTTTGTAAAGACCCAAGGAAGTCCCAATTCTGTAAGCACTCATACTGCTTAAGTTGGCATCTACCTGAGGGTTGGTCCCAAGGAATTATTTGCAAAGCCTAGACTTTTGCTTTCTAACTGAAAAAGAGGAGTGTGATAGGAAAAAAATGTTTATTTGAGCCTCCTTAAGAGATGGTGTTCATAAATTAGGTGACAGCAACCATGAGGAAGCCCTTCCATGTTTGCTAAGAATAGGAGGTGTGTTTGGACTTCAGACCATACTACTCACAAGCAAAGTGCTGGTGGGAATGTGTTCTGAAGCGTCCAGTAAAAGATGTAGCTTTGATGTTGCTGTTTAACATAGCACAGAATAAGATTTGAGTCAGCTTTATGACCCTATTACTTATTTGTCACTTGGAGTATTTTAAGTCAAGCAGAAAAATTAATGGTTACACTGCACTCTGCAGTTAAAAAAATGCTGGGTTTGTATCTTTCTTGCCTTCTGTTTTAATTCTGAAGATGCATTAATTGTATTTGTAGATAAAGATCGCCGAATTTTGTTTGAGTGCTAAAACAAGAGTAAATCTCCACTGGGGAGTTGTAATTGTTCTAACAGTGAACTTCACTGTGTATTCGTAGGATGTTGTTCAAATGAGCCCATGTAACATGGCAGTAAGCCTGGCTTAGGGCACTGATATTTTTTTCTTGTGGTTTGGCCATTTTATTGAAAGAGCAGGATGAGTTCTAAAGTCAAACTGATCATCTTGAGATGAAGTAATAGAGAATACCATTAACTCAGATTAGCAGTTTGAGTTGGTAATAATGTGGGAGCCTTGACTTCAGACAAGACTGAATTCCTGTGGTGTTTGTCCTGTTGGAGACTTGTGTATGCATGCTGTTAGGAGGGTGGCAGTGAGTTTATAGTTGAAGATACCTGCGATGCAAAGGCAGGCTTTAGAAACTGGTGTACATATGTATATTTTTTGAAAGGAACATATGCTGTCTGCATAAGAATTCATCCTGCGTTCATAGCACTTCAGCCTGCAGGGTTTTTGGCTATAGGTGGGGTTGATAAGACTAGGAAAAAACACATTGGGGGTCAGATCTCAACTGGCTTTCGAAGACAACCATAGGATTAAGGTTTTCAAGGAGCCTGTCAGATATTTTAATCTAAACTCATGTCTTGAGCACTTTTGCAAAATGTGTTTGACTGACACTTCCCTTAAATGTAATATTAGCATAATTAAATGTGAAGACTATTTTTATTGCTCTTGACTAGGTTTTGAAGTAGGTTAAGATAAAATTCTGTAGTAAAAGTAATTATGATTTCTAAGGGGAGTAGCAGGCTTATTTTAAGATGCTCATCAGTATTTCTTCTTTATCACTGTTACCAGTAAATAAGGTAAGTTGCAAGTAAGAGGTAAGGCCTTGTGCTTGATTAGGAGATACTTAAGTAAACTATTAAACTTAGGCCGTGGGACCTCTTAAGTAGTCTTATTTCTAGGAAAATTTGAGTCAGTCTTCCCTGGAAAGGGAATTAAAGTTATTTTAGTTCTTTTTTAGCATTTTGGAGGATTAACTTTGTGATTTAGAAATTGGGTAAATCTGGTCTAAGTGTATTTGACATTGTATAGTTTTCTTTCCAAATGCACAAAATAATTCTTGTACTCTCCTTTGTGATACAGGTGATACTGGCCAGGGAGCAAGAGCATGGATAAAACAAATCTTGAATCAAGACATGGCTTTCCAACATATAAAAGTAATTTACCCAACAGCTCCTGCCAGGTATTGTTTAATGTATTTTAACTGTAGGATTAAATTACTCGGTTCCAATACTGTAAAATATGCTTGTGAATATTAGTGCAGACTGTCGAAACACTTCCTTTTTCTTTCTCGTATATATACTTCTTGGCAAAACTGAACCTCAGCAGTGCATTGCCACCCAGGGACTGTGATTTTCGGTGGGTAAGACTCTACATGGTTAAGACTTCAAAGAAGTAACAGTCTCTAATTCAGATTCAGGTATTGTCCTCACAGTATCTTTCTGTCTCCTAGATATAAATAGAAGATGATACTCCAATGTGTGTTGTAATGGTATTATAGAGCCATGTTCTGGATCACAATCCTACCTATATTGGCTCCCTTAAATTAACTACTAAAATATCCGGTTGTATTTAATGCAAGGTTTTGGTTCTGAATGTGATTGGTCTTTGGCAAGTAGGATGTGAAAGATCTTCAGCTGCTGCAGAAAGAATTGGCAGTTTAAAATTACACATTTCTTCTAGTTTCAGTCCTGACCCAACTGTTTTGAAGAGAATTGGGTTCAATGTGCATGCATTGTGTAGGTACAAATCTTGCTGACCTGGTGTGTTCAGTGGTAGATCAGAAATAAAAATACTTACTGTTGGGAATTTGAAAGTTAATGAGGTCAAACCCGAAGGCTAAAAGTTGGACACCTACCTCTGTATTTAGCCATCTAAAGACATGGCTTTACGTTTTAGAGATGTTTTATTTTTCTTAATATAATTTCATTTTTAGGATGTATCTGGTCTTAAGTTAGAAAAATGTTTCCTTGAAAGGTAATGGGGCTTAAGTTCCTTTCTGAATTTGGGCATAAGTGCGGATGAGTACTGAGAGGAAAAGGAAATTGGGACATTCTACACAGACTTTCGAGGTACAGAGGTTTGAAAGTCAGAAAAAAGCTTCTTGGAGGTTATAAACAAGTATAATCACAGGTTTTGTCTGGCAGTCGCTAATATGTGGAAAAAAAAGAATTTCCTTGACCAATGTAGGTTTATCATCTACTTAGGCAGGAAAAACAATCGAGAGATTGCAGTGTGAATGTACTCACTGTGTTACAGAACAGTCAAGCCTGGGAGTGGAAGTCTTTGAAGCAGCATGTTTTGGGTTAGTAGGTAATGAATATGATTTCTGTAAACAATGTACTCCTTACTTCATTGATGACAGACTAAAATGATGCTAGAGTTACCAATGGCACATCACCCGTACTGAGAGGTTCCATTTCTTCCCTGTCAACACAGCAGGTAACTGAGAAGTGCAGGAGGTTTTCTTCCCTATGAAATGATCTTTTTTTCACGTTACATGCAGTCATAGCACCTCAGACCACATCTATTTGACCAGTGCTTCACTTTGCCATCCCACTGCACTTCTGGAGTCCAATCCTTTTCTCATTTGTTTATCTTTGGATACCTACAGATGTAAACTATATAAATGATAAACCAGTACGATCTCCTGACTCCAATGAGTGGCATTTATGAGGAATTTGGTTTTTGTCTTAGGACTTCGGATGTCAGTATTTCGGTAATCAGATGGGAAGAAAGATACTGTTGTGATTAAAAGATGTGAATAAACGGTTGATTTCACGGTGTTAAGCTGAGGCTACTCATGTTCTTCTGAATTGATACAGAAGTGGGTTTTAGCAAAACTCTGTGAAGTTGTATATTAAAAGAATGAAATACCCACACTGTTTGTCTTTGACTGGCAATATGAAGTATGCTTGGGAATATTAGTGTTCAGCCCTCTGTCGCTGATAAGCACCATTAACTGATAGAGTGAAATAAAACAGATGCCCTTAAATACTATGTTTGCCACTGTTTGCAATAATGCTGAAGTTTGTGAAGATATGTATTGTTGGTTGAAACCAAATTAACAGAGGCTTTACAGCCCAATTTCATGTTGTTTTGGTATTCAAGTCCAAAACACAGTATAAGCTTGGAAGCATTTGTAATGGTTACTGTCCTTTCTTCCACAAAAAGGAAAAACAAGGCCTAGAACATCCAAGCTTGAATGGTGGACATTAAAATAATACTTGCATTAGGAACTTGCATGTATGATCTTATTTTGTGTGTGTGCTTTGATAATTCCAAGTGCTTCTGACAGCAACAGGGGAATTCAGCATTCTTGAGAATGAGACCTGTATGTTAGATGGTTATGGGTGTACAGATAGGTTGAAGAAGATTCTGATCCAGTCTTTGATTGTGTAGAGACACAGTGATATACTGGTGGAAGGCTATGCTGATGTGAGAGTCCCTGTGGGTGGCACAACCTGCAACTGCATAGTCAATTACAGGAGCAGAGTGCAGAGCTTGCCAGCAGATTTTTATGCTGATGATGAAATCAAAAGCTTGAAGTTGGGCAAGACCATACTAGGATTGCTTGGCTAACATGCTCTTCTGGCAAAATACTGTGAATGTGGATGTAGTTCATAGTCTATAAACTCCTGTCTTTCCAGCATAACTTACCACATACACATTGAATGCTGTCCGTCAAAGTAGTTTTGCCAGTAAAAGCAGGTTTGACTATATAACTGCAATGCTAGAGGCATTGGCAGGATGAACTGCAGGTCAGGAATACCTCTTCAATGTTTTTGATGGATATAATTCTGCTGATAGATAGCTCTATAGATTTGGTCTTAAGCATTCATCATCTCTATTAAATAGAGTTCTGGAATTCACATTTTTCAGCAAAATAATTGACTTTTTTTTTTCTTTGTGGAGGGTGGACGGAGTTTATATTTACATTTTGTCTATATTTTATCCCAGGCACCAAAACATACATATCTTCAATTTACTACAAGATTAGAGACTCAGACATGTTACGTGTTTGAATTCAATAGTCACTATGTTTGAAACTTAACTTTGGAAAGTGAGCCCAATATATGATCAGGAATAAGTCTAAAGCTGTTCTCTGGCTTTGTTAGCACTGATTTCAGCAAACACTAGAGAGGATATTTTCATTCTACAGGTAAAAGCAGTAGAATATTACTGAACTACATTTTATAAAACTTTTTTTACTGTTCTCTCTAGGTCTTTGTAAAAAGTTACCCTTTTAAGAAAACATTTACTGTTCTGTAATCATTCTTATAACACGCAGGGTCTGTGTAGAGAATGATCACCAGATGTCCCCTGGACAGGTAAAGTGTTTGCGACGTTTTGTCCAGTTATCCCTCATTGCTTTGGAAAGTCCTGTGAGTTTCATATGTTTCCTGAGTAAAAATAATGTAAATAATGCAATTTACTGTCAAAAAAGAAGAAACTCATAAAATTTCTAAGTAAAATGATTATGGAAAAAGGCATGCTTAGATAAAAAAGGGGAAAATACAGGGATTTGAAGTCTCAGTGTAATGTAGTGAGAGTAGTGGCACCTGAATTTGGAGTGAATGCATGTAGCTGGGGCATGTAAATCTTGCTTTACAAATGAAAACTTTTAGCTGTTGCTGAGAGGTGTTGTTTTTTCTCTATAATGTAGGCAACTGGGATACTTAAAAATGTGTAGAGAACTTGTTTTAATAGGTTGTTCTTTTAACTTTATCTAGCTTTATTTCAAGACACTTTCTTCTGAACATAGATTAAACTTGTAAAGCACAAGAGAATTATATTTCCTCCCCTTTGTAATGCTAATATGTATCTTTAATTAAAAAAAGAAGCTCAAATTGTAGCCCTAGCAGCTGATGCAATCCCTAAAGCCACGTCTACAGTAATAGTTTTAAAGGAAAGGGTTTCCTTTTTCCTTTTTTATTTGGGTCGGAATGGCTACAGCTTTAAATACTGTTTCAGCTGCTACAACTGTGCCTTAAACATTAGGTTTCTATTGAGTTTCTAAATCAGAAGTGAATGCCACCCAATGTAACCTTTTTTTCTTTTTTTTTTTTTTTTTTTAATCGAAAGTGATAGTTTAAATTGGCATTGCAGGAGCTAACGTGGTAAAGTAAAAACCATTTACGCTCCACTTGTTTTAATAAGTATACCTTGCCTTCTATAATTCCCTTTCAGAATCTAGGTCAAAGATTCTTTGCGTTGTCTAGCATTCCATTCTGACAGTCTTCCTCTTTTGCAAGTCAAAGTAAACTATAAATACTTTTGGGGCTATTTTGTGGATCTTTTGGATATTCACTCAGTATACCTTTCTGTGGCAAATAATCTATATACAGAGTTTGTCGTCAGGTTTTTGTTTTGTTTGTTGAGGATTTCTGGAAGTATGTGGCTGGTAAGGACTGCTCAGCACTGTATGGCCTGGTATTCCATCCTTTCCCCTAAGTTCACATCTCTGCTCAGCTCATGGGTGGAAATGAGTTTCATCTCATCGTAGTCCCCATTTGGCTATATCACAAAACCACCAGACAGTTTGGCACCATTCAGCTACATTGGCAGTCTCTGCTTGTGAGAGGCCTAGGACTGGAAAAGCAGCAGGGGTACTGCAGGTCAGACTGGAGATGGATTGGCAGAGCTGTGTAGGGGAGTGTGCATGGTGCCTATCATACTATTTTTGGCTCAAGCAAATGTTATTAATCCTTTGCTTTTGTAAGCCCTAACCTCATTCATAAATTCAACACAAAGAAGTCTTTTTAGAGGTGGAAACTTGAGGGACAGATGGAAAGGGTTTGGGTTGGTATCATGGGGTGGTTCTTTCATCTCCTTCTGTAAGCAGAAAAGTAACACATTCTGCATTCCTCCTCTTGCATTAGGTGAGGAAAACATGGATATCCATACATGTAAGGCTTGCATCATATGCTAAATACCATGTGGAATTCAATAAACACTTATCAGAGGTACTTTAGTCATGCTTGAGGAAAGCAGAGTAGAACATGATGGCAATAATCTTGAATTCCTAATCCCTTTAACTACGTTAAATGTGCTCTTAGACATCCTTCCTCTTGTTTTTCTTCTCTCTGCCATTTTCCGATACAGAAGAATTAGAGACAGTGGGTTTTATATGGCCCCTCCAGCAAGCAGTTACAGGGTTCTAGGTTACGTGTCATTCTGTGC